ATACGACGGCTGTAAAATGGCAAATTCATGACCTGCAACTGCCGCCGCACCCCCTCCCTCCCTTTCTGAGCCCCTCGAGTGTGCATTCTAACGGCAACTAAAAATGAAAGGAAGCGAAAGCGGAAGTGGGTAAGGGTGAGGGTGGGGGAGTGGGAGCCCGATTGTAACGATTGGGTTATTACCATTATATTGCCGAAACAGCGCGCGCGTAGCTCTGCGTCTCCAACTCCATCTCCCCGCAGAAACAAAGTCGAAACGCACATAACTCAATCTTCGAAGGGTATATAGTACTTTGGAAGCCTCAGCCTCCGTCTCAGCCTCCACTTTAGCCTCCTTCCCAGCCCTGCCCGTTCCCCCTTTTTATTGCTAATGGCAAAGGCGGAGAGCAACTGGAGGCTTCGGCTGCTGCTGCAGTTTATGCGCCGCTGTTAAACTTACGGTAGTTTACCGCGGTCCAAACTCACCCTTCCCCCCCCAAGACCTTTACCCCAAAACCTTCTTAGTTCCTTTACTTAACCCAAACTCCCTCCCAGAAGCGCATTCCCTCCTCTGACTTAAAAACGAAACAATTTTTACAACTTTGTTGTTTGCCAGCGGCAGGCGGCAGAGCATTTCTAGTAGCTCCAGCTCCTCCTCCTCCTCCTTCTCCTTTCTGACTTGGCCCGTAAAGTGAATGTAGTAATTTTTCACAAAAATCTTTGTCTTTAATGGACCATCATCAGGCGTTCTCTTCGCCACTGTCCTGGGCTCTTGGCTAGACAAGGCCTTACCCCACACACTCTCTCTCTCTCCCTCTGTGTCGTCAATATTGCTATACGGTTGTTAAAAATGCGTTTTAATGCTTCAATAAAATACAAAAAGTTTGCATTAAAAAGCGAAAGAGAAGACTCCTTTAGCCTCTAAGGGGGGAGGGATTGTCATCCGGACAAAGCAATTAGCATAAAAAATAAGCGAAAAAGAGACTTACAACTAGCCAGGAAAAGCTGGCAACTTTCTATGCTGGCTAGTTGAAGAAACTTTACCTTGGGGGGAGGTCTTCTCCTACCTTCCTTAACCCCTTAACTCCTCTGACTTCCCGCCCCCATTGATTTACATTTTGCATTGTGCATTTTCGAGGCAGGCACACAATTAATGTTTAATCAACAAAGTGCCTGGGTCCAAGGCACAGGCGCAGGCCTGATGATCAAACTAGCGAAATTGCATCAAAGAAACGAAAATATTTGCAGTGCGTGGGAGCTTTTGCCTCTGCGGCAAAAAAAAAAAAAGAAAAAACGTTGAAATAAAAATGAAAATCGTATAATGCAAACATTAAATTAAAAACGAGAGAGAGGAGAGCCTCGTACATGTCCCTGTGCCTTCGCCTCCACCTCCGCCTCAGCCCCTGCTGTCTGTTCCCATTCTCGTCCTGGTAATGCTGATGATGCCCGATGAGGCCCCGGTGTGTGTTTGGTAACGCTAATTGAAAGCCACTGCCGCCTTTGCGCTTTGCAGCCAAAGACAAATATTGGATGGACCGCAGCTTTATGCATATTTAAAATCAATTAAGTCAATAAATAATAAGGACAACCTTAATGCGATTGCATATATATACATATATATATATATATTTGAGGGAAGTGCAGTGTAAAAAAAAGGGAGGGTGCTCCGAGAGGTCAAGATACGAACGATTTGGAAGCTTGGACACGCTTCAAGGACCCTCCACGGCTGAGTTGTTGCCATTTTTTTTTATGTAAACTCGCCGGAGCAAGCCAGCCAAGATGCACTGGGCCACGAAATCCGGGCACAAAGTGACCCTCCACCCAGGTAACTGGCGCGGCTAGTGGGAGCTATCGGAGCGAAAATCAAACGAAACAATTGGCTAAAACGAGCAGCCTCCTACCTACTTTTTGCCTTAAAAAACACAAGCCACAAGCGACTCCGACTGCGACTGCAAGCACCAAAAAGGAGCAGCATGCGGGAATATGGCACACACACACACACACAAAAAGAGGTCCTGAAGCAGGGAATGGGTAACAGGGTGTCAGGGTTGTCCTTGGGTCGCTGGCGAAAAGCCAAAAGCAGAGTGCCAGAATGCGTCGGCAGTTGCCCAAAAAGAATGCAACGGAGATGGCAAAAGACGAGCTTTAAATGGAGGTCCTGCGATCTGGGTCCTGGGCTTTCCCCCCCAGTTTTCATTCATGACGATGAGCTCAAAAGCCCCATGTCCTTGCCACCCCTGTGTGTGTGTGTGCATCTTTTTGCTTTCGTTTTAGAAAACTCACGACACTCGAACCAACGCCGGTCGTCAAAAAGAAACTGCAACGAATCAAGGACGAATTTTTTGGCAATTTTTTTAGCTTCACATCCAGGTTCACACATTCACCTCCACCCACACTCATCCATCCCGTTATTCTCCTCCTGCAATCTCTTTTGCCAGAGTGGCAGCAGCAGCAGTCGGTTTGGCTTTGTTTTCTCGACTGTTGCTTTTCCTTTTTGCTGGCGCCGAACACACACACACAGGATGCATATACACGTGGCGATTCTTTGGCGCTTTTTTCCAGGGACTCTGGGACGAAAAAGGAAACACCAGACGCAAGGCGACCCAGTTATCGAGGCTGTCGAGGATGGAGATTGGAGAATTGAGTGGATCGAGTGGATTGAAGTGATGTCCATTGAATGCTCATTAGGGTTACCACTGATGCTGCTTCTCCTGCTCCTGTTTAAGCGGTGCTAAAAAGCAATGGAAGGCATAAACACAAACCGAAACCAAAGTCAAAACCTGAAAGAAAGATGCCATCTGGTCAATGGAACAAAGCACTATCCATACTTCTCCTACTCCTGCACTTGTTTCTGTTACAGTTACTGCTATTGGTTTTGATTTTGCTCCTGCTATTCCTGCTCATGCTTTGGCTCCCGTTCCTGCTTTTGCTTTAGCTCCCGTTCCTGCTCATGCATATGTGATGTTATGAGGCTACCAAAACACCAGCTGCGGCATGCAAAAGAGCCAAGGATGCGGATGCGGATACGGATACGGATGTGGCTGCGGCTGCGAATCCCGCGACTAAGCCCAACCAAACAGTAACACAAAAGGCGTCAAAAGTCGGAGTGAGAACACAAATCCCGGTTTGTAAGCCAATTTGCACTTAGGCTTATCTAATGTCGTATCATTTGTATAATGCTCTCTCTGTGTGTGTGTGCGATACTTGATGTCTACTGTACGAGCAGTCAATACAGGCTCCATCTTCTCCTGCTCCAAACCAATGGCTCTACGCCTTCCTCCTTGCACTATGCCGGAGAGTGTGTGGGCGTGGGCGTGTGTGTGTGTGCTGTGCGCGCCTTATCCTGCGGGGTTCATTTCTAAGCTCATTTATGTTTATCACAAATGCGTGCCAAAGTGTGTCGTTATTCTTTCACAGCCCCCAGCCCAGACCATCCAGTCTCTGTCCCTGTCCATTTCCCCCATACTACATACTACATATACTACATCCTTGCCAGCCTGCCTTCCCCCGTCTCAGAAGAAGCTTCGTGTTGTCGAAGCTGTTGGCTTGGCGCGAACAAAAACATTTCAAATATTCAAAAAAGCCACACACACGCACACGCCCAAGCACACGCACATCCTCCTCCCCGTCCTTGGAAACTGCCAACTGTACTCAACTAGTCGGGACATGTACTGGCCATAGAAATTCATCTAACGGCTGTAACAGGTAATTGAACTTGGTTATATGGCCCTCGGAATGGCATCGCGGAGCTCTCGCGCGCTTTTCTTGCAAATGGAAATGTGGAAATGCCGGAGCGTCGCCTAGGGCTAGAGGGGGGGTAGGGTTGTGGAGAGGTCGTAAGGGTGCAAAAGGGAAATACCAATGGCAATGGCAATGGAAATGGAAATGGAATTGAATGACGCGCGCGTATCGTGTGCCAAATGTGACGTCTCCGCCCCAGTCTTGGTGCGAACTATATAATGCGGGCATAAAAAGGATTTGCACAAGGAGCAAGAGAGCATGTGTGTGTGTGTGTGAAGTCAATTTCCAAGACTACAGACTCGCACATGAAAATTGCAAATTGTACATAGTTCGGGGGGCTGGAAGGGCCCAACTGTTGAACTGCTGAATAATTCATGGCCAACTGGAGATTTGTGCAGGGCATCAGAGTGGCATCAGTGGGGCATCAGTGGGGCATCAGTGGCCTCAGTGGCTTCAGTATGTCTGCCAGGATGATGATGATGTCTGCCTAAGCGTGCCTGATGCCGATTTGTGGCACGCATAACTGTAAATCGCCCGAAAGCCAGCCACAGAAATGCTGAGCCAGTAGAGGATGTGAAGGCTTTAGTAGATGGGGCAGGAGTGGGAGTACAAACAGGAGCAGTAACAGTAGCAGGAAGTGAAGCCATGAGCCAGAGTTTCTGCTCTATTTGCCACAAACTCTGTCTGCAAACTGTGCCACACAACAAAAGCAAACCAAAACCCAAAAAAATGAAACGAAATCAAAACCAAAACCCACGCTGCACTTGCTTCATTTCGTGCATTTTCTTTTGCTGGCTCACAAAAAACACACTCAAAGCGAACACACACACAGGAGGAGAGGGTCCCTGTACGTGTGTGTTTGTGTGTGCATGATGCATCATGCATTGCCGACTTTGGCTTGGTCCTGTTGTGTTAGGGACTTCTTTCTTTTGTTTGTCAGCAACAGGTGGCACCTGGAACTGAAGTTCCTGGACACCTCATGCAGGCAACAGCAGGCGGCAGCAGGCCACAGGACACAACCACGACCACGACCACGACCGCGACACGACCCACTGCCCACTGAAGGACGTTTTTCCTTCCTTTTGGCATGCAGGCAGGCATACGTTTTTTGTGCATGTGCCTGACTGCTCCTTTTTCCTTTCCTTTTTCTTTTCCTTTTGACAAGGCAACAGCACAGCACAGCAGCAGGTCCTGTGTGCGGGTCCCCCAGTCCCAATAAAATGACCAAAAAATGTTGATTTAAAGTATTTTTGATTTATTTAAACATAATTCGTGGTGAATGTCTAGGCTCTAGGTTAAAAGTTAATGGAAACTAAAGGCTCCTTTAGACTGCATTCCGAAAGCTGGCAATGTCGCTGAGTTCCAGTGGCTTCCATTGGATATCCACATGCTTGCGGATCTCCTCTTCCTCGCAGTTACCGCCAGTACAGCTGGTTATATTCTTATGATTATCAGCTGGGTCTGTGGAGTAACATTTGCAATTGGAATCAGGGTTTAGGGGAGTCAGCGAGGTGGACTCACCATATTTGTGGTCATGTTCCTGGTCACAGGACTTGGGACAGAAGACAATCTTCAGGTCGATGGGCTCGTACACCTTGACGATGAGCTGCGGTACCTTTTCGGTGGAGTAGTCCTCGGGTATGGACACTAGCGGGCGGAGGATTTTCGAACTATTAACTTGGCTCACTGGGTTTAAGGTAGAAGTGATGGCGATGGGTGTTAGATGAACGGTTTGATTCCGCGCCGACAGCAGCCACGGCCTTCTGTTCACGGACAACACTTCCTGGTGAACTGCCGGCGGCGGCGGCGTGGTTGGTGTTTCTGTTCTCGGTGTGACTGTAGATGTTGCCTTTCTTGGCTTGGTTTCTGTGGCTGCCTTCAAAGCATAAGCTTTTTCTGCTTTTTCCAGCAGGTTTGTCGTAAAACTTCGTGGAACTCTTGTTGGATCTCCCTGTATCGCTGATACTGGTGATGATTCTGTGGCTGTTGTTGTGAATGATTCTGTGGATGATGCTGTAAATGATGCAGTGGATAATGTCCTATGTGTTCTGGTTGACTGTGTGTTGTGCGTCGTCGTCTTGGGACTGACTGTGGTGGTTCTGCTAGTGAGTCCTAGGATGCGGCCAAGGAAACTACGTCTTCGGCTTGCTTCATCTGCCAGGGAATTGCTGTTACTCTTCGCTCCATCATCCGCTTCGGAGGAGGACTGCCTCAGGAAGCTGGCAGTGGGTAGCTGTGAACTCTCTCTCAATCCTAGTGGCTGTTCACTAGAAGCTACTACTTGAACAGCCTTCTGTGTTTGTGGCTGTGGCTGTAACTGTGACTGTGGAAGAACAACTACATGTCGCTTGGCAGTCACTGTCGGTGGCTTCTTGGCCAATTCAGTTGTGTTTTGGTTCGCCAAATGGCTGGCAGGCTCATCCTCCAAATAATCATCGTCATCATCGTAGTATTCCGAGCTTCGTTGACCTTTATTTGTAGCTTGAAGTGTTGCCTCTGGGTTAGAGCGCGGCGTAGTCGAAGTCAGGGGGGACCTAGTACTTGTGCTAGTGCTAGTGCTAGTGCTAGAACTTGTACTTGTACTAGAACTTGTGCTAGTACTAGAACTTGTACTTGTACGAGTACTAGTCTTTGTACTTCTACTCCTACCAGCCTTCATTGCCGGCAGAGCCACGGGCAGTGGCTGCAGCCTCTCCTTCAGCAGACTAAGCAACAGACTCTTTCGTGCCTCCAGGCTCTTGACTCCGTCGGGAATCTCGTTCTCGGCCTCATCATTGGCATAGTCAGAGTCGGAATATTCCGAATCATTCATCATTGTCGTCGTCTCCAGTGGCTTTGCTGTAGAACTCGGCCTGGAACTAGTTTCTTGCTGCTCCGTGGTCGTGGTGGAGTCCTGGACTGCTGGTATGACAGCGGCCATCGTTGTGCTACTGGCCATGGCCTTGGGTGTGTCCCTCCGCCTCTCCACCACTTGGTTGTCCTCGTCATCGGCATACTGGTGATCTGAGGTGTCGCTGTCATAGTATTCCGAATCTTCTGGCTCCTTTTTGGCTGCCAACGGCAGGACCTTTGATTGGACGGAACGCTTCTGTGTAGAGGCCAACTGCTGGATGGAAAGTCGCAGCGAGTGGGCAATAAAAGGCTTGGAAGTGGCCAAATTGTGCCTGGCCATCTGGGCAATGGTCACACCGGGCGGACGCTGGGTGAGAGCGCGCTCTCGGCTGGCTGGAGTAGTGGTAGAGATCACGTGGAACAGTTTCCGTAGGATTTGAGCAGCTGCCAGTGTGGACATGGTCGGTACCTTGGCCGTTGTCGCCCGTCCCGCTTCCGCTTCCGCCTCGGACTCGGCGGAAAACGATGGCCCGTCGTCCATGTAGTCCAAGGCCTCTACTGTGGAGTGAAGACTGTTGGCCCGCAGAGGCTGATGCAGCTCCTCCCGCTGCCCCAGTGGATTCCCGTTCCCAGTTTTCGCTGTGTCAGTGTGTGTGTTGTTGGGTGACTGTACGCTGGACTGTTGTCCTTGGGTCTGGAGTGGCTGCAGGTGTTGTGTCGGTGTGCATGCTGGGTGTGTGCTTGTATCTGCAAGGGGAGTGTGTGTGTGGATTAGGTGTTCCCTGCTGCGGCTGCTGCTAGTGTCGAGAGGCGATGTGCTTAGGGCTGTGGCTTACCTGAGGTGGAGTCCGGGTCGGGACAGTGGGGCCGCGTCGTCAAGTCCGTTGTGGCTGTGCTATTGTGGTCGGGGGACGGTGAGGTTGTCACAGTGCTCGTCGCCGTCACGGATGTCAATTTCTCAGTTGTGGTGGGTCCCTGGGTACTTATGGTCACAGTCGATGTCTTTGGAGTTGTCGTCGTTGGCCTTTCAGTGGTAATTAGTACTGTAGTCGTTTCCGTTGTTCTCGTGATTTCCGTTGTTAACCAAGGAGTCGTGCTTGTTGGTTTTTGGGTCGAGGTAGTAACTGTGGTCGGATTTTTGGTAGTTGTAGTTGGTGGTGGAGTTGTCGTTGTTTGTTTTGGAGTGGTTGTTGTTATTGTAGATGTTTTAGGAGTCGTTGTTGATGGCTTAGGAGTCGTCGTTGTCGGCTTTGCAGTAGTTGTGGTCACTGTAGATGTTTTAGCAGTCGTTGTTGGTGGCTTAGAAGTCGTCGTTGTGGACTTTGCAGTAGTTGTGGTCACTGTAGATGTTTTAGGAGTCGTTGTTGTTGGTTGAGGAGTAGTTGTGGTCACTGTAGAAGTTTTAGGAGTCGTTGTTGGTGGCTTAGAAGTCGTCGTTGTGGGCTTTGCAGTAGTTGTGGTCACTGTAGATGTTTTAGGAGTCGTTGTTGTTGGTTGAGAAGTAGTTGTGGTCACTGTAGAAGTTTTAGGAGTCGTTGTTGATGGCTTAGAAGTCGTCGTTGTGGGCTTTGCAGTAGTTGTGGTCACTGTAGATGTTTTAGGAGTCGTTGTTGTTGGTTGAGGAGTAGTTGTGGTCACTGTAGAAGTTTTAGGAGTCGTTGTTGATGGCTTAGAAGTCGTCGTTGTGGGCTTTGCAGTAGTTGTGGTCACTGTAGATGTTTTAGGAGTCGTTGTTGTTGGTTGAGGAGTAGTTGTGGTCACTGTAGAAGTTTTAGGAGTCGTTGTTGGTGGCTTAGAAGTCGTCGTTGTGGGCTTTGCAGTAGTTGTGGTCACTGTAGATGTTTTAGGAGTCGTTGTTGTTGGTTGAGGAGTAGTTGTGGTCACTGTAGAAGTTTTAGGAGTCGTTGTTGGTGGCTTAGAAGTCGTCGTTGTGGGCTTTGCAGTAGTTGTGGTCACTGTAGATGTTTTAGGAGTCGTTGTTGTTGGTTGAGAAGTAGTTGTGGTCACTGTAGAAGTTTTAGGAGTCGTTGTTGATGGCTTAGAAGTCGTCGTTGTGGGCTTTGCAGTAGTTGTGGTCACTGTAGATGTTTTAGGAGTCGTTGTTGTTGGTTGAGGAGTAGTTGTGGTCACTGTAGAAGTTTTAGGAGTCGTTGTCGATGGTTTAGCAGTCGTCGTTGTGGGCTTTGCAGTAGTTGTGGTCACTGTAGATGTTTTAGGAGTCGTTGTTGTTGACTGAGGAATAGTTGTGGTCACTGTAGAAGTTTTAGGAGTCGTTGTTGATGGCTTAGAAGTCGTCGTTGTGGGCTTTGCAGTAGTTGTGGTCACTGTAGACGTTTTAGCAGTCGTTGTTGTTGATTGAGGAGTAGTTGTGGTCACTGTAGATGTTCTAGAAGTCGTTGATGGTATAGCAGTCGTCGTTGTTGATTTTGCGGTAGTTGTAGTGACAGTAGAGGTTTTACGAGTCGTTGTTGTTGGATTAGGAGTTGTCGTTGTTGGTTTACGAGTAGTTGTGGTCACTGTAGATGTTTTAGGAGTCGTCGTTGTTGGTTTTGGGCTAGTTGTAGTGACTGTAGATATTTTTTGAGTCGTCGTTGTGGGCTTTGTAGTAGTTGTTGTCACTGTAGATGTTTTGGGAGTCGTCGTTGTGGGTTTCGGAGTGCTTGTCGGTTCCGTGCTGGTATTCGGAGTGGTCGTCGGTTTCTGAGTTGAAGTTGTTGTCGGCAAAGTGGGGCATGTGTGTGCCGGAGTCTTGGCTGTCGTCGTCGTGGTCGTGATCTCAGTAGTTGGCAAAATAACAATATTATTTGATAGATGCAGCCCCTGTCCGGCACCTTTTGGCTGGGGGGTGTCTGTGAACCGCTTGTATTGGTACTTCGTAGACTGATACTGGGTGCTGGTCGTAGCCGGTGTGGAGCTAGGCAAGATGACAACATTCACCGATGGCTTGACAATTTTCTCATCCTCGACGTGTAAGCTCTCTGCGGCTGGCTCCTTACTTCGATAATAGGACGAATGGTCATAGGAATACGAAGGATAGCCATAGTGAGACTTTTCTGTGGTCGTCGTCGTGGGCAGTATGACAATGTCCTCTTGGAACCTTCCTGACTTTAGGGCTGGCTGCTCCTTATTCGCCACTCCAGCTCCCGCTCCCGTATCGTAGTCATCCTCCTCGTAAAGCGGAGCAGCCGGATAGGGCGGGTAGTACGGATAATACGGCAGTGCCGGCGGGTAGTCGTAGCAATCTACTTCGCTGCGTGGCCGGCAGAGCTTACGTTCCGTATCAAAGCTATTACTGCCGGGGCACTTAAAGCGCGTCTGCAGATAGTTGCCGTTCTCCTGCTGGCGGCACGTATAGTACAGGGCGCAGTCCGTCGGCGAGCGGAAGGTGCCCTCCTCAGTGCACACGGGAAACTTGAGCTCACAGTTTTGTGGAATGTAGCTGCCGCTGGGCGATATCTCCGTGGAGGGGCACTGGTCGCCGGGCACGCACTTGCGTACCAGCGGCGAGAAGATGGTTCCTACAGGGCAGGCAAATAGCCAGGGCTGTGTCTGGTTCTTGTCGCAGCGATAGTAGACCTTACAGTCATCCTTATGTGGGAAGCGACCCTCTTTTTGGCATTGCTTGGGACGGGGATGATGCGAGGTCTGGGGAATCTGATGCTGCTGCTGCGGCACGCAGCGTCTGCTGTTTGGGTCGAAGCTCTGAAAAGAGCAGGGATGCGGTTAGATGACTTCTTATTCTATTTCTTGAACTTGAACACTCGGGCACTCACCTGGTGGTTGCGGCACTTGCTAAAGATCACACAGTTGGACTGGCACACATAATAGTACTGATTCTGGTCGGGATGTGGCTTGATGCCAATGTAGTTTCGCGAACAACGATTATTCTGAGTCACAGTAAGTAAAAATAACAGATAAGGGTAAGGAGGGGGTTTTATGAGACATTTTAGTCGAGTTTTTATATAATTTAGAACAATTTTAAATAGCCTTTTCAAGTGTTTAAAATATTTAAAATCTAATAAAAATATAATAAATAATAATAATGCAACAAAATAAAGAAAACTTTTTTTAACCGTTTAAAAGTGTTTAATTGAATTCTATTTATCCTACTAAGTTTAAAAGGTTTGCTCTATAAAATCTAATAAAACAATTTCCGCAGCACAATATTGAATAAAAACTATACAAATAATTAGACCACTTAACAAAGATAATTTTTAAGCAAGGAAAATCTTCTTCCTTCCTTATAAATGTAAGTATTTCCCTTCCAGAAAATTGTATAAATAAAAAAAATAAAGAAATATATCACCAAGTAAAGACAACTTTTTCACAAGATAAACTTTTTTTTAAAGACAAAGTTATAAGAGTAAAACTTAAGTATTTAAAACATTAGAAAGTAATAGAAATAAATATTTATTCTCAAGAAAATTAAAAAGGTAAGCCTTTTTCAAGGCTTTTTAAATTTATAAAATATTTAGTTAAGTAAGTAACTGCCAAAAAATCAAAACAATATTGTAATTATAAATATTTCTAAAAAAAAAAAAATAAATAAATAAAAATAATTATAATATTTTAATTAAGGGATTAGGAATTAAATCAAATATTTTTCCTCCAGAAAATCAAATAAAAATATTAATAAAAAATAAAAACAATAGCAACGCCAGAAAATCAAATAAAAATAATAAAAACAATAATAACTTACATAATCGAACTGAACTGGATCACCGCCTCCTGGAAAGCTCTGATACACTCCATAGTAGTTTCCAGCCGGAGCAAAGCCATGAGCTTGATAGCCGCCATAGCCATATGAGTGCGGCGGATAGACCGGATAGTGGGGCGGCGGCGGCGGCGGCTGAGCGTAGTAGCCACCTGGGAGTACCGGCGGATAGCCACCGCCGACTTGGCGCACCGAACGACTGGCAGCCAGGGCGACCAGGGCCATCATAATGCCCAGCAGCAGTTGCGACCAGAGGCAGTGCATCATGGTCGTTTCACTTTACTTTGAGCTTAGGTATTCCCTTTGGTTTTTCTTTTTCACTTGTTTAGGCAGCGTATCCTGGGCACATTTGTGGCAGATCCTTGAGCTTTTCTTAACGGGGAAACCTTGCCTGCAACTGCGTTGGAGCTCTCTGGAGGCAGTGGTGACTTGGAGCGGGTCAGCGCGTCTTTAATAGGTCGCTGCTAGCGCTGCCGCCGAGAATGTTGCATAACTCTAAAGCCGATTGACCGTTGCTCGTCGCTTAAGTACGGCGATCTTGGAGCTCCCTTAGCCGTAGCTCTCGCTCTTTCTTTCTGGAGCTCCATGGTTCTCCCAAGCAGAGACCGGAAGATAGTGACTACCACATGACTAAATCGCTTTTTGCAACGCCAGAGAGCAGCATCGACGTGTTGTACTTCCGCAACGCAGATGCACTGGCTGACTTCTCTTCTTGGGCATGAGTAATCTCCCGCTTGGTTCATCCAAAACATCCGACGTGATCGGTGGTTAGAGGGTTGTTTTGATTACGGAACCGATACCTGCAACGATTAAGGTGAAAAACGCATTGTAAGGTCATGTAATTACCAAAAGTTTTAAATTAAAAACACGCCCCTCTCTCTTGTACTTCCGATTCTTACACGTACGACTCTCGCTGTGAGGGTGTTACGCATCCGAAAAAAATGCGAAATTCCGAATATCTGAAATTTTGGAGAAGCCCCATATAACACGTTCGTTCATGTTGCTTTTTTCGGCACGAATTGGAGACCGGAGGCCTATACGTAATTAACCTAAGATATGTCTGTGTATTGGGGGCACGTTGGTAAACCCACAAGGAATGTAGTTTAGGTTCTTAAACTAAGGTTATTAAGGTAATTCAGGAAAAAACCTCCAAATCAGTAATAAGTAATCACCATCATGTTTTCGAGATGTTAAACACCACCGAAAATCGCTGAGAAGCTATATTAATTTTAAAATATTGATTAAGAACTGGCAAAAGATATTTCTCTGTAGTTCAGACATGATTTTTACTCGATTCTTTTCCCTACTTCCGGTTATGTTTTTATAACTGATATGGCCTCACCATCCGTAAGCCACTGATATCTGCCTCCAATCACCTGGGCAATGGCTTCCAGAGAGCTTCCTATCAACCGGACTGGATCCGCACCGGACCGGACAGTTCTCTACGTGATAAATCAATCAGGGAATATGATTTTGCAATGGAAAAAGCTGGAGCCACCAAGCTTAGCTATCGCCATGTCATCCATGTCGGACAAGCTCTCGAGCAAGCAACCGTCGCCGTTTGTGTCTGCTCAGAATTCTTGGGATTCGAACACGTCTTCTTTAAGCTTAAAGATAAGCATGAAAGAAGCATAGAGAAAGAGAGATGGAACTAGATATAGAAAGAGAAGCAGAGATGTGCATCTAAGTCTGGCGGAGTTTTGAAATTTTCTGAAATATGCGCCATGGCACGTGCGATAGATTCTAGGTGGGGGAATGCTCATTCATTTCGTGACGCAGACAGTGAGAGAAAGAGGGGGAGAAGCCACACTTTCATTCAAATTTTCGTAGTTTTCATTTTTTGTTTTTTTGGGGGGTTTGAGGCTTCACTAGCGATCGTGGGAATTTAGTCAAGACTTACAACCAATGCTTTCAAGACTGTTATTTCATCAAGGCTGAAAGTTTTTACAATTGTTGGATATAAGAGGTTTACAACTACATTCCAGCTCAAAGAGTCTTGAAACAGAAATACTTTTCTTTAGTTTAATGCTTAAAAGCTAAGAATTTTGAATTAAGGGGTTACTAAGGGGTTCGAAACTCTATTTGCGATCGTGGAGATTCGCTATCAGTGGATTTTAATGGATCTCTCAGTGGAGATAGCTGGTCAGAGATCCACTTTAAAGCCAAATCATGAAGTCAGTGAGTTTAAGACTGTTATTAAGTTTTGGGAACAAGTTTACGTTGTCTAGAATAGAACAGTGGCTGTCAAAGTTTTACTTCATGTAAATAAAGTCTAAGCTTTTGATCTTGAAAGCCAAGCCAAGTCTTGCAACCAATGCTTTTTAGACTGTAATTCATCGTTTTAGTCTCTACATAGTTTTCATCTTTCGCTGGCAATAAAAGTAATATATATTATTTAAATATGTATATAGTATAGTGATCAAAGCAAAAACATTATAATTTTAAAAAGAGAAATTTTACAAGACATTTCTAAATTTTACAAAGCATTTCAAACTGATATTCAGCGTAGAGAACAAGTCTCCAGTCTATGGTTTGCAGCTTCACTACTGATCGTGAAAGCTCAGCCAAGACGCCTACCACGAAGCAGGAAAAGCTCTTGGCTGGAAGCTTTGTAAGCAAATAAAGACAGAAAAAAAAACAACAACAAATATCAAAGAAAATCAAGAAAAACCTAAAGGAAAAAAAATGTACCTCCTACTGCTTCTCCTCCCACGATCCTGGCCCCAACTATTCCTCAAGCGCAGGAGGACCGGTAAGGAGGGTAAAGTGGATACAGAAAAAAAAAAATAGAGAGATAAAGTTGAGAAAAGAAAAAGTTTGCTTTTGTGCCTGCCGAAGTCGAAGGAGCGCACGAAAATAAGAAAAATTACTCCCAGCAGGAGGAGGAGCAGGACCTACGACCAAAATAAACAGTGGCAGAGCAGTGGCAGAGCGACGAAAAAAAACCAAGCAGAGGAAAAGTGAATATAAAAAGGCAAAGGCGAAGGCAGCAACCTCTCATCCTGCATCCTCGTCCTGTATTGGTATTGGTATATCGGCGCTGCGTCGCAGTCAGCGTAGGCGCTGTGTGTGTGTGGGTGTACTGGTTAGTGCGTAAGGTTTCGCCCCCTCGCCCATTTCCCCATGTGGCCAGGACGACTTTCACTCTCGTTCCGCCGTTCCGTCGTTTTTCCTTTAACTCAACAACGACGCCGACAGCACCGTCAGGTTTTTCAGGTTTTTCTTTCATTTCTTCTTATTTTTTTTGTTTTTTTTTTTTTTTTCAGCTTTTCCTTTTTCTGTGGGGGGTTAAAACGGGTGGAAATTCGGTACTCATCAAGGAGTGCGACGCTAGAAAAAAGCATGCCAAAGTGCGGCGGCAACTGATACATTTCTTTCTTTGCCAAAAAATAAAGGGAAAATAAAATAAAAGAAGGGAACAAGAAAAAGAAAAAGAAAATGAACACAAAAATCAAGAAAAGAAAAGCATCAAGGCAGCGTTTCGGTTTCAAGGTAACACACAAACAGGCCAGGAATTGGGATATGGGTGGCGACCTTGAGCTGGACCCCGGCTCTCAGAGTGACGGACAGACGGCAGACATCGTTCCAGGAACCCAGGTAACCCAAGACCCAAAGTTAAGGGGGTTTCCTGAATTAGGAGGCAAAAAAAATCGATTTTTTTTTTATTGCTTAAATCGATAGATAAACTATCTAAGAATATACCACAAAAATTTCAGAAGCCAATTCGAAGTATTTTCGAAGATACAGAGATGAAAGCAAAGGAACGCCGGGTAGGTTTGCAGGCGCTTGTTGAACTTTGAGGCCCGTTTTCTCACTTTTAATTTTTACGATTCTTTCGAATTGGCGGGAAAGATAACAAAAAAACTTGTTGACCGATTGAAACGAGTAAAGGCTTATTCTCTTCAGAATTAAATTCTCTTCTATTTGAACTAAAACGGTTGTTGAAAACCGCTTTTTATATTTTTACAGCATGTTAAAGTCAATATTTCATTTTTCGGGATAAAATATTGACTTTAACATGCTGTAAAAAATATAAAAAGCGGTTTTATTTATTCGTTTCAATCGGTCAACAAGTTTTTTTGTTATCTTTCCCGCCAATTCGAAAGAATCGTAAAAATTAAAAGTGAGAAAACGGGCCTCAAAGTTCGACAAGCGCCTGCAAACCTACCCGGCGCTCCTTTGCTTTCATCTCTGTATCTTCGAAAATACTTCGAATTGGCTTCTGAAATTTTTGTGGTATATTCTTAGATAGTTTATCTATCGATTTAAGCAATAAAAAAAAATCGATTTTTTTGCCTCCTAATTCAGGAAACCCCCTTAAGACCAAGACTAGGCCCGGCAACTAGAGAGAAACACACGGAAAGAAATTCTCTAATTAGAAAGTCACTAGATGTTAAGGTATTTGAAAGATATGTCAATCAGACATTATAATATAAATAATATTAAACCTAAGCAAGATATAAAATCTATATAGTAACCATAATATCTTGGCCTGGTTTTTTTATTTCCTCTGCAGTTCTAATTACACCAACAGCTGACACTCACACACAGACACAGACACACACACACTGGCGGATAACCACCTGTAGTCCTGCCTAGAGTCCTGTCCTGCTGCTGACCGGAGATTAGGGTGAGGAGCTAGCACTCCACACCCCCCAGGGCTGTGCGGCTTTTCTTTTTCCTTCTATTCTTTTTCCCTGCCTCTGCCCCTCCTGCTGCTGCTGCTGTGTCTCTGCCAGAAGGATTTTCTCGCACTTGGCTTTCTCTGCTTTCTTGGCTCTCAACAGGTTGCAACTGCCTGCGTGTGTGTGTGTGTGTTGGCGGGGGTGTCCTTTTGCCGGGACCATACCCAGTGACCTTGAGTGCTGGGCTAAGGCTAAGCGCTGTCATGACAGCAGTCGAGGCGTCACCCCCTACTCCTGCTCCCAGCTCCTGTCTGGGCCGTAATCCTGGCAACCAGACATGTGTGTGTTTGGCTGTGTGTGGGCGCGTGTCCTGGCTGGGCAATCGAGTGTGTGGAGCGTGTGTGCGTGTGTCAGGCGACAGCCTCAAGATGTCCTCTTGGCTAGGTTTTGGCTTGCCATGCCCGGATAGTGTCCTGTCCCGTCTCGTCAAGCCCGGCGATTAAGCGCCGCCGCCGCCTCACTGATTTATTGTCGCTGCTATCGGTCAGGTCAGGCCCGGGTCAGCAGAGCCTGCGCATCTGATGAGTTAATCGCCACGAAAAAAAATAAATAAAATCCCTGTGCCTGTTGTCCCCTTGACTCCTCTTCCCCATCGAAAAACCTGTTTGCCCGGCAACTGCATCGAGTGGCAAAGAGTCGGGGGTTGAATTTGAAAAGGCAATGCATTAGCCAGCAAAAAGAAAACCAGTCCAACTCCAAGGAGCCACGATTGTGTTGCAGCGACCTACATAGAAAGAGAGCTGCGAGTGGAGATGACGATGACGATGGCGAGTCCTCTTCTTCACCGAAGCCTGCAACGTGGCCAGGGCTCCAGGTTCGACGCGGAACTAACAAAACTCGTTTCGAGTTGAGTTAAGTTCGAAGTTTCGCCAAGGCATTCATTCGCTTTCCTTGTGTGTGATTTCAGCCAAAAAAAAGAAACCGGTTTCTTCTGGCTAGCATTTGATTAAAGTCCCCCCAAGTTGGTCAGTTTCCCCAAAAAGAATCTCTTGGTTAGAGAAAGATAGAATCCCCTCTCAGAAAAAGTTTTTCGTTTTCCGCTTTCCCACTTGAAAATGAAATTAAGTTCTTCCCCGGACAATTGACTGGGAAAATAGCTCCCAAAGCACACACAC